TTGTTATATTTAAGAAGAGAAGCATTATTCTAAACGTCACGTATATTATAATTACCCTTTATGACTTAGCTCAATTTACAATGGATTGAAAGGATTCAAACAGTTAATCGAATAAATAACGCGATATCGTTCATAGTTACATAGTACCTATAAAAATCGTTTTAATTTAATACCTTAAAATCCCATTAGTGTTGTTGATCCAAATTGATTGAAAGCTTGTAAGGAAAAGTATAAAGCGATAGCTGACATATAAAAAGTAGATTGTATCGATAAAAATTTTTTTTTTATCATTGAAAAAGAAAAACATATATTATCTAAACATAAATTATGTTGATATAATAAAAAAAAGAAATAAGGAAATAATTCTAAAAAAAATTTAGCATATTTCAGGTAATCTTCTTTATACCAATTCAAATTAGTGGTACAAAGAATTGGTTTTATAAAAGTTTATATAAAATATAAAAAATATTTAATTTATACATGACTTAAAATTTTTATGAATGAGACTTAGTTGATATTGAAAATGACATGCACATTATTGATCTAAATGTAGTGTTTAGTTGCATTGTGTTTAAATATTGTTCAATTAGAAAATTATAGCCACTTTAATTCCATCTAACTTATTAATCAAATATTAATTATTGTTATTTCAATGATCCCTGTAAAATGAAATATTAGAATATTTTAACTATCGTTGAAATCAATATATAGTGTTTTTCATAAAATATCTATGATATGTATGGTAGATGCAACAATAATCTGTTACAATGGTTCATAAATTAACATCGATATTTATAAATACCTATACATAAGATATATTGTTTTTACGATTCAATAAAAACTTGTTTATGTGACACCAAGAAGAAATTACGACACTGTAAGCTACACGCCAAATTATTCATAGAAAATTTGTCAAAAATCGATAAACTTTAATAAGTATTGACAGAAGGTTCATTGAATAAAAAATATTATAGCCATAAAAATTTTTTTAATTTTTTCTTTCTATCATATCGCTAAACTAAAAATAGGGATTTTTATTAAAGAAAATTTTAATTTAGATTATTTATCCCGAAGAGATAAAAAAAAATTATTTAACCACATACTATTGAAAATATTCTTTTGGAAAAACAATTTTTTACTTTATGGTATTTTAAAATATTCAATAGTTTTCTAGAAAATAAATATTTTATGTTTATTTGATTACCCTGCATATGTTATTAAAGATCTTTACTTTAAAAATTACAGTTGGATATTTGTGTTTGCCTAAATGGAAAATCAAAGACCAAATATATGCATCTCGTAAACATTTCAAAGTTAATAATAAATACCATTTATATGAGTTGCACAAAGTTTCAATGTCAAGTATTTACAATGAAATCAGCCAAAAGTTGCTAAAAGATAATGAAAATATTTTGTATAGTGTATTCAAGTTTGACGTTTTTATTCATTTATGAAAAATAATTTCCAATGATTTATTTAATAATTAAGGTTGGTTTCAGAAACCCAACCAAAAACTTTACAGCCAAGGCCTTACTATTAAAATGAAATTAAATATCGACCAACAAAAGCTATAATTATTATAACTTTTTAAATATTATTTATTAAAAAAAAAATTTAGCATAATAGATTTATTATATTTATTTTATATTTTATATTATTAAATTATAATTTTAATAGTTTTATTAAATATTTATCATTAATGTTTAAAAAAAACATAGATATGCTATTTGTTATATTTCATATAGCAGTATTATAAAATAATGTAAAACCTTAAAAAAGATTCCTGATATAATTTATTTATCTTGATTATTAAAATAAACAACAAATATCGATAAAAAATAATCGTTACCCAATTTTTTACTTTTAAATACATAGAAGTTTAGAACTTTTACAATTATTTTGTATCTCATATCCGTTATGTAAATGCATTTAATAATATTTTTGTAGTATAATATGTCAATATATTGTTCACTTTGAACTTTTAAAGTTTCATTTACCTTATATTATAGTCAAAAATAGAGCGAAATTTTTTTCAAAATCAGTTATTACTTGTATTATTTGCATGCAGTAACTTGTATAATTTTTTTATTGATAAAAGCCATTCGAGTGACAACATATAACACTAAGCCAGAATAAGACTAATGCCAATATGGGACCCGAGGATCTCTTACAAGATAAGTTCATTTCTCCGTAGAAATTTTGCTATGTAATAAAACATTAACAATTGACCAATACGAAAAAAAGTACTTGTCGATTTCAGATTTTTAAAATTTTTTTTTAATAAATGAGCTTATTGACGCTGTACTAGGAAAATTATTCACGAAGATTAGAACAATTCTTTTTGTAGAAATGTGAGGCCTGTTGTACTGCAGGTTTAGCGTGGATTAAATAGAGCCTTATAATTCTATAATCACAAGTATAAAAAAAAAATTGTTGAGTATCGTAATATATTTCCCCCGTCGTAAAAATAAGTTCATCATATTAATCAATATTAATTTGTAAATTTTTGAAGGAGCTTTTTTATAAATCAGGAGGCAAGACTCCTTAGTCCTCTTCTAATAGTGTTACTGGATAACTCTAGTAAATTGTAAGTATTTTTTAAATTATAAGTATAATAACATAAGTAATTAATTGGTTTTATCTTTGTAAAATTAATTTTTTTTCAAATATAAAATCAGAATTAAGCAACAAAACGAATTTCAAATAGTTCATTAAGATTATAATTCAACCTAATCGAATAATAAATTTTTAATTTCAAATTACAAAAAATATTTACTGTGTTTTAAAATTTGGGTTGCTCATACCTAAATAGGCATTCAAAATGGGTCCTGGGGACCATCCTCTCTAAACACTCTTTTAATCTGGGACTGTTCTTAACTTGTACAAAATATGTAATTGATTATTTTATATATGTTGGCCCTGAAATTTTCATGTTAGTAAATTTAATACAGTTCGTTACAAAATTTTTTGGAAGAAATTAAAAGGATACCTTTAAATAAAGATTTATGTTTAATGTACAGTAAAAAATTCATTAAAATTAATTAAACAAGAAACGCCAATAAAAGTTATTTATTGCTAACTTAAACTTTAACTTGAAATATAAACAAATAGAAAAATTCCTGACTTAATGAAAAAATGAAGTGATTAAGTTGTAGATTATGGTCCTTCGTAAACATAATTTGCGAAAATAGGTTATTTTTACGTTTCCAGACGATCCCATTTAATTGTATTAACAGAAAATTAGTTCCAATCTTTTGCACCCTGAAGCAGTTGAATATTAATTGCTATGAGAAAATCAAGTTAATTATCTTTAATGCGAAAGTTTTAAATTATCAAAGTTTTATTTTGTTGACAAATAATATTATTTACATTTATAAAACGATTATATATGTATCTATTTTTCAAAACTTTAATATTCAAATTACAAAAGGATAATTGCACAAAAATTATTCGAATTTTCACACACATATGCTGAATATTTTAAAAGCATATAATACAAGAGAAATTTTTTTCTAAATAGTATTTAAACTGTTAATATTAAATTGTGTACTCATTTTTGATAATTTGTGTCAAAATTACACTAATCCAACCCAAAACGGGAATTTTTAAATAATTTCTTACAGCGATGACATTTTTGCTTAATTAAGCTATTGGCATAAATATTAATAATTGATAATCAGTTTTAGTTTCTATAAATATATTTGATGATATCTATCAGATAGCTATAATATATTAATACTTCATTTAATTAAAATATAATATAATACTACAAAATAAATACCAGTGAAGTGATTCGATGAGTCTACATCAAGAATTGTTATTCCTTTATTATTCTGTAAACTGAAAGTTTTATTTATAGTTTCCTTACAAATTAATAACTTTTTATTTTCTGATATTTATTTCATTACTTTTGTAAATTTTAACCTGCGATTTTCAATAATTACACTAATAATTTACTTAAAAATTGTTAATTGGAACAAAAGTGATAGAAAAATAACGTTTTTATGAATTGGATATCTTTTTTCTCTTCTTCAATAGATTTTTCTTCGCAATAAATTTACATTTTTTTATTTGACAAAAAAATATAATGAAAAATTATGAGTATAATATAATTCAACAATAATCATTTGTCATTCATACAAATAAATGTTAATAACCCAGCAGTTTACGTTCAGCCCTAACCTCTATTGATTCCTAAGTATAATGTAAATACCATATTTAGGTTGCGTGTTTTTTTTTTTTTCATTTCTGTCTACTAACTTATTCTAGAAAAAGGTCTCAACCCTCACGTTTTATCCATAAAAACAATCTCGCGTACTACTAATACGTCGATTGCTTCATCGTCCGCGAGTACTTTGGATGCATTTGAAAAACTCAATTTATAAAACTTTACGAATTCTAATAAAAATGTATGACACATTTGTAAGGAAACACTGTAGTAACGGACCCACACAAAATTATCCATTTGCAAAAGTCTACTTGGTTGACGTGAAATATTTTGTTGATGAAAACGTGTAAAGTAATATTTTAGTAAAATTGCAATTTGTACACGTGGAAGTAACTAGATACTAGTTAGATAATTTTACAAATGACCTTTAACGAGTATACCTCGTATTGCACAATCAATGGATCCTATGCCGAGGGTAAATAATTAATACAACGCTTCCGTTATGTTACAACAAAAAAAAAAAAACCCTCGAATTCGTATGTAATGTGCAAACTGCATAATTTAATAGTAACAGAATATTTAATTAACCTAAATTAGACTATTGCTACTCAACGGGATCGCTTTCTGGTTATTTTACTTTTCGAACAAATTAATTTAGTAATAGAAGAATTACCATGTCTGGTTCGGAGTGTAATACCATACAACCGAATCAAATTGGGGACGCTTATAAATTCAGAAAAATATCTATTCGACTTAACAAGAAAAAAATTGTTTAGATAAATGTTTGTTCCAATAACTTACAATAAAAAAAAATGTAATTATAACGAGTTACCTTTTTTCGGTTCCTCGGTGGTCGTATGACCACTGGCGGCTGATTTGACGGCCACAGCACCTGACACCGACGGTGGCGGTGGTATATCAATGGTATCACAACACTCACGTTCAGGGTACTCGCTGGCCAAAGCTTTGGTGGTCATAACGGCCAGAACGGCGGCCAATGTCAACACAGTGACCCTGGCCGACATGACGACCAACGAGTACACGACACGCGCACTAATGGCCTGCGGCACGCACAGAGCTCACATATTAACGCTGACTGTAGTACATTCGACGGTTAGTATAATATCTCATTAATTCAAACTTTTATTAAAATAGACTTTTTGAAAATATATTAACTCTATTTGTATCACAATTAAACCGTATTGAAAATTATTAACTAGACAATGTGTTTACGAATTACATGATATGTCTCGAACGTACATTGAAAAAGCTTAAACCGACCCTAACGGCGGCGGTGGTACGGCGATAGCGCCCGAAATGCGACTAAACGTGTCGCCCGGCTTGAACGGAAAGTACGTAAAAGGTTACAACACACGTTACGTTTTTCCATGTGCGCCAGCGCGTCTTATGTGTGATGGACATAATGGAACCTTATACATTTCAGTGCCATTTTAGTGCAATGCCATAGTTGTAAGTGCTTTTTATTTGCTGCACTGTTTTTGTGAGTAACTTGATTTTTCTTTAATGAATGGCTATTTTCTGTTAAGGATAATCTATTTTTTTTTTTGTATTTATAAGTAAACTTTTTAGAACAAATCAAAGTGGACTTAAATTAAATTTTGTTTTCTTCCAAAAATGTTCATAATTTCATCTAAAAAATTACACCATATAATTGCATAAGATTAACTGCTAATAAAAATTAATGTATTTATAGCATAAATTATTAAGTATTTAATAGATTATAATTTTATATTTTCGAAAAAAAGATTAAAGAACTTTGAAAAAATTTAGGTCGGTCAGTTAAAAATATATTTATAGATGAGAGGTAATATTTGATCAAAATTCATTTATTAAATACCATAGTGTTTGTGCACATGAAAATTCCAATGGAAACTAATTGAATTCTGATGAAAAAATGGTTATAAGTGAAATAAATAATTTATTTTTTAAATATTAACATTTATTACCTACACAATGGAGTATTCACACCAATGAATCAGTCATATACGTGTTAAATCATAATTATTATTATTAAATGTATTTAAGTTTAGCTTAAACATAGAAAAGCAATTGTTACAATAAACATATTGTGTATAAAAATTTATCTAGTCTTACTATACATTTATGTATGTCGTTCAAATAAAATCATCAAACAAATTTACTAGGTAAAAAATAAAATAATAATTTGTGTTAGTTATGCTATGCTGTCATAAAAAATGTTCTCAAGTGTGGTTCTCTCAAATGTTTTTAGACTATTACACAAAAAAATCCGACAGTCTCAACTCTCATGTTGATACTTATATAAGAGTCAGTCTATATCATTTGTTGTGTACATATACTGTCAGATGCTTTTGAACAGGAGCAAAGAGTGTGGAGGATTGAAACACGCCGTCTGCAATCCGATCGTTATTCGTTGTACTACATTTCTCATTTACTGTTCACCACATATCGAATTTCCTACTTTTTATATCTTTCCTCCTCTTGCCAGATTCTTTCGAAAAGATAAAACGTTGGGAAAAAACCCAAACGATTTGATGCATTGATATCCAGCATCGCCGCCAACATTATATTCGATATTTTTCTTCTTGTATTACAAGTTCTTCTGAAATAATGAATGACATAATAAAATATATGAGAATAAACATGCATCGTTATTTAGAAAAATCATTATAAAATTAAAAAAAAAATGATGCACATTATTAAATTGTATAACACATCTGTAAAAAAAAAACATAAATTCAATCTAATTAAAATATTTATCTTGTCAAAAGATTTGTTGGGTAAAATTTATTTTCATACAAAAACTTGACAATACTTCTATGAATTTTACGACTTTAACAGATAATTAGAGGTCCAGATTAGTCAGAAGATAAACCTAAAAAAAAAGTTTAAGTTTGTGTAGCGTCACGCATCACAAGTAATCCTGTTTTACATTTATCGTTATTGCACAATTTAGTATTCTCTACAAAACATTACTTAGCGTTTTAAAAAGACTATTAAAACCTGTTAAAACTCGTTGTACCACATTTACATGTATGCATATTCTAATGCGCTTTTATCTTATTTAATTAATTAATTAAGACTCTTAATCCGGTATCACAGAGAAAAAAAATCACTACCTCTACGTATTGTTTTAACTTCAATAATTTCGCAAAATACTACTTTCTGTAAACAAGTTAAACTATTGACAGATATCATTTAGCTACAAATTATCGCCCAAAAACCTTAAAATTAAGTATCTATATTCGGAATATTACAGAGCAGTAATTCACTTTTAAAAAAATTAAAACGTAGATTTCCATACGGATCAACTTAAGGAAGATAAAGTCTTCTGGTTTATTATTGGACATCTTCATCACACTACTTCAATAGACACTATAAAATAAGTACTTAATGGCCAAGAATTTATCACGCGTCATGTAACAAATGTTCTAAAAAAACTCCACTTCCATTATTCTTTGTTAATTTAGTACTAGCACTAAATAATCAATATTAATATAATTTCGCTTTTCTATAAAAAAATTTAAATAAAAGAACCTTCATTAAAAAATCTATTATTCAATCTTCTTCTTCTTCTTTCTCGCCTTAATCCCATCTATTTGGGGTCGGCCACCTTTATCCTAAACTTCCACTTGACACTAATTAAATCTACTATTATTCAATGTATGAGGTAAACATAAAGCACACATAAACATAATGCAACCATAGACCTAAATATATGCGTTGATGTGATAATCACCACATATCAGACTGCTCTAAACAATGGGATGAAAGTCAAACTTGTGCTCTAGGTAGAATACTCAACCAGCAAAATATTTGTTAGGCTCTTAAAGATCTTTATGAATTCTACAAAAAGTCTTTAAACAACAAAAAAAAAAATAGATCTTTCATTGTAGATAATACTTTTGTAAAGGGACCCAAATCCAAGTGACCAGTAGCGGTCAATTGGATGTTTTTGTATTGTAATGATTGTTTTATTATAAGAGATAAAATATTTTTTGATAAACATTTGGAATGCAAGTGATTGGAACAACATGAATCAGAACGGACATGACGAAATAAAAATTGAACTTAGTTTTAGTTACAGAAATTAACTACACAATATACTCAAAACATTTCCAAGTATATAAAGCTGATCACCTAAATGGTACTGCACATGTGGAATCAGCTATTATTATATTTTCCAAAATTAAACATAATTTACTTCCAATACTATACAAGCTACTTCAATTTCCATAAATATTAATCATATTATTATTGCATCAATTTATTGTCCTCCTAATATTAAAATCATTTCTCAATAAATAAAACATTTTAAAATAACTTTAGGTCATACATTTATAACTGGAGGAAATTTGGTTTATATTATAATAATTAAATATAGCATGAAATTGATATTCAATAATTTAGTATTGAAATTTTTACAGAGCAATATAAAAATATATAAAGTAGTATATTTCCTCCATGGCAAACATGTACCAAAATTGTAAGCAACTCTGGGGAATATAATGATTGTTCTTACTAATTATTACATATTATAATAGTATTATTATTCTAATATCATAATAGTGTGACATTCACCAATAGAATAGATGGAGAGAAATTTTTTGAAATTTAAAGTTAATGTCATAAATTAGGTACAATTTATAATATTTTGAAAATGTGCGAAAAATCATAACTGTGTATATGATTTAATCCGATTAAGAAAACAATAACAAAAATTCTACACGAAGACAAAAATAAAAAAAAAATCCAGCATTTCACATAAATCTAACAAGACACTAGCAGGGCGAACGATTAAAAAATATTCAAGCTTATTTTTACGGATGACAAAAAAAGGTTTTCGTTGCAAACGTCAAGCTGGAGCTATGAATTATGAACTTGGCTTATATTATCACTGTTATAACATTTATTTTTTGCGCATAATCATACAAAGAGCTACTCTACTACTCCTATTTTCACTGAACTACAGTATTGTAAAAATATTTCATCACTCATAATCCCATAGGGAAAAATAAAATGAAAAACTATTCTTTTTTTTTACGATTTTTTAATTATTTTTACAATGTGTGATACTCAGAGAAATAACTAAATTTCGTATGTTACTGATTATGAATTACAAATGGAAGAAAAAATTAACAATTAATAGAATACCTTTTAATTTATATACAAAGGTACAAATGATCATCGTTTTACTGTACAATCTGAAACAAACCTTAGAACACTAATAGTTGTTACTAAATTTATTTTAATTTGACTAGAAAAAACATATTCCTGAATAGATATCTATTTAAATTAAGTATAATTATAATGAACGAAAATTTATTTCCAATTATTAAAATTAAACAGATTCTATATGCTTAAAAATGTCTACTTCTCCTATCACGTCCTCGATTATTGACACAGATCTCCTCATTTCACCTACCTCGTGTTCTCTTTTATCAACTTGTACTCTATTTACTTTGTCTTACTCCAACTTATTCTTTATCATTTTCCTCCCTATTTTCTCCTATTAACATTATAACGTCAGTTAACATGTATCACGGTATTTTTCCTTATACTTCTCTAGTATTTTTATCATATTTTCATAGAAAATAATTAATGTTTCTGTTGGATATTTCTCAATCCGTAATTTTTCAAAATTCTCTTTGCACATTTTTTCACATTATCGCACGTTAGCACCCTTTCATCATCACTTTGTATGCGTTATCACAATTTAAACTCGTGATAACCTTTAGAAATTATTTCGCTTACTTTTACAAGTCTATAACTTTATTTTCACTTTCTTTTGTACTTAGCTTATCATATAATTTATCATACCTCTTAAATTTTACCTTACTTACCACACAATTGGCTTTTTCAATCAATATTTTTTACACAAATAACAAATCTATTCTACGCATAATATTATGTCTCCCTCGACATTCCTCACCGTATTCTCTTTTACAATTTTTCAAAATTTTCTTTTCCTCTTTCAATATCTACTACCGAATCCTCGATTAACCTCCTGTGTCTTTTCTGTTTTTGAGTACTCTCTTCACACTGCAATATAGTTCAATTGCCATTAGTCAATGTTGTGTAGTTACACTCCTGCCTGGGATAACTTAACAATCTTATCTGTGCTGTGGATGTTTAATGGTAACATATTCACACATGTTAATTAATTTTATTTCATTTTCATCAGCTATACCAAAGTCGATTAATGTAATTAGTAAAAATGATAGTGATAGAAGTTAAATGATTTTACAGTAATTAAAAAAAAATATTTTATAGAAATTCAGACGCTGCATATTAAGAAAGCTCTTGTAAAATATGTA